AAAAAAAAAAAATTAAAACCCATTGCTATAGCATAAATATGTCGATTAGTTTTTATTCACTCTATATTTTTCTGTTTGCTTTTTAAGGTTTTAAAGCAGAAATTGCACCTTTTTAATGCAATGTCAAAGCAAAAAAAAAAAAAAAAAAAAGATAATAGCTAAAAATAAACAAATATCAATACCATATGCAGTTACCAGGCAGTGTGGAAAGTCACCTGTTGATTTTCGCTGAGAGGAAGAGGGAATGAGCACTGGCTTTCATTAGGTAGGAAATATTCCTTTAATAAATTAAGTTTCAATACAATTTTTGAAGTAAGGATAGTCTTGAAGTAAAGGCAGAGGTGTGATACAACTTTTTTCTCCTAAATTGTTGGAAGTATAAATAGGTACAAAGTTTGTGAAAAGCAATTTCACATTAAAAATAGTGGTAACAACCATGTGAAAAAACCATCTGATGTGTATGATTTACTTATTGTTTTCTATGTATTGAGCTTTGTGGCACGTCCTTTTACATCCTGCGGAAGAGAAGGAATGTTCATGCCCTTCTTCACAATTTTTGCCCCTCTGTTCCCCTCCTGTGTTGTGGGTCTCAATGTTAAGAGTTGACAATTTGATTCGTTGTAGCAAACAACACCCACTAGATCTGGGTTCACTAGAGAGCAGGGTCGCTGCACAGTGAAACATCCACCAGAACCTGCATGCACTTGGGCTCTCCCTTGAAGTTCTTGTCTCCATGTGGTCAGCACACCCAGCTGGGCCTGCTGGTATGTCCCAAAAAGCTCTGACATCTTTCCCCTTAATGTATAAATATACATAATACATATACATTATGTCATTGAAATGATACGCAGACCCTATGAGGTAGGTAAAATTCGTATTCCTATTTTGTAATGCATTCTGCATTGGAATCACCATAAGAGGATGTGTCTCTGTGTAATTGCAGATGTCCAGGGATGGAGCAAGATAAGCAGGTAGAGGAATATGCTCTGGGGTTCTTAGGAGCACCCAGCACTAGTAGAAGATGAGGCGATTCAGGCACTGAAGCAGTCTACTGAAGGACTTGACCTGTTAGACTCACCAGTCTCCTTGAAGCCAAAACTTTGGCCTATCTTTCACAATCAAACAGTACCTGAAGTGTGCATTTCGAGTACTCACTTTATCTGTCATTTTATGTTGTTTATCTACACTTATTTTCCCTTGGTTCAATGTCTTTTGTAATCATTTTATATGATCATACTGTAGATTATTTCTGTAAGCTCTCAAGTCTTTTGGGGAATGAAGTAGAACAAGAACAGGAGCAGAGTACTATAGGTGAGGGTCTGGTCCACTATTGCAGGTGGCTTGGACTAAGAAGCTGATCTTGGTGTCCTGGTTGAGACGTGATTTCAGAAGTAGGGATGCCAGGAATCGGGAGCTTGCCTGAGGCTTTGACTTGGGATACATGAGGGAGCAGATAGGGAGACATAGAGAGAGCTCTTCGGCTACAAGAATCAGCAAGGTTTGGGGAAGGGACAGGAGCCCACATCCTACATTTTTGCAGTATCAGAAATGTCTCCATAGCCTCTTTCTTATTTGGGAGATGGCGGAAAAGGAATCGCTTCCCAATGGAGAAGCTGGACTGAGGGTGATATTCTTAGGAAAAGATGAGTAAATTTTATAATTTAAGAGGTGGAAGTACTCCAAAAATTCAAGTCATCTGACTTATTGCTCAATGAAAAACACCTTCTACAGCAGTTCTCCTAGATAATTGCTTTGATGAATGTTCCACATACACTTGAAAACAATGTGTATTCTTCAGTTGCTGGGTGTACGTTCTATATACCATATGCCAATTAGGTCAAGATGGCTAATTGCGTTGTTCAGATTTTCTATTTTCTTAATTGTTCTATCAGTTATAATAGAGATGAGTTGAAATCTCAAATGTAAATGTGGATTTGACTAGTTCTCCTAAGTCTGCCAATTGTTGTTTAATATTTGAAGCTATCCTGTTAAATGGGCACACATTTAGGATTGTTATGTGTTTAGAACTCACTTTTTTATCATTATGAAGTGTCCCTTGTTATCTTTAGTAATATTTATCTTCTGATATTAGTAACCTGCTAAATAATTAACTTTTGCTTGAAAACATCTATGAATGGAAACTCCTACTTCCTCTAGAAGCAGTCTTTGCCATGATTATACAATAAGCAAGTTAAACTTCCATTGGAAAGATTTTCTTCATGCCAAGCAAAATTGTGCCTCTTTGTAGCTTCTACCCATTAGTATTTGTCTAGTTTAGTAACACAACATATGGAAAGCACCATAGTTAAAAACATGAGTTCAGAATCTAAGCAGTTTGACTAGGCTTTAGCCAAGGGCTAGTTATATGACCTCTTAAACCCTCAGTTTTCTTGTTTATGAAATGGATACAGCAATACTTATCCTTAACAAGGGTGTTAAATAAATAAATTAGATGTCTAGAACATAACTCAATTAGTGTTAGCAATTATTGCAGGTAACCCTTCTGGTATTTGAAGATAACTGGGAAGACTCCATCTAGTCTTTTCAACCCTAAGTAAAACATGCCTACCTCCTTTAACTGTATCTCACAAGACACAGTCTTCAGACCCATTTCCAGATAGTAGTCTTTGGGTATAGTTTAGTTTTGCCAAGTTCTTTTAAAAGGATACTGTAACACAATCTATATTCTAGGTATTATCTGAGCAGCACAGATATCTAGGGTTTTAATGTAACCTAAGGTCATAAGATCAGTTTTGCTAAATATATGATCTGCTGCTCAGTTAAGTTGGCTATATCCTTACAACCTGAATAACAGACCCCTTAGCACTTGGAGATTGTCTCCAAGTTGACTCAAGACCACAACCAGCCTTCGTTGTCCCTGACTCAACAACTACTAGCTATTCAGTCTGTTATAGATCTAGTCAGCTATATTATTATCCCACCTTTTACCACCTTATACACAAGGTGTGTGCTTTGTGCGTCCTGGGTCTGTTTGCCTT